TGGTAAAACGGATATAAAAATACCAAAGTTGTCCATAACTCAATATTTTCATTTTATCTCATTATCAGTCTCCACAACGATTCTCCTTCTTCTTTATGAGCATAGTTGTTCTAAAAGAAAAGATATGACATGAGTGAGAAAAATGGTAGAATTTTATCAAATTAATCTGAACTTAACTATAAAGTGAATGTACTTTGAACAAGATCTCAATCTTTTTCATGGTTAAGTTCTGATTAATTAGATTTCCATTTAGAACAACAATTCTCCTAGAGAAAAGGTGAATCTTTTGTCGACTAGATGAGTGGTATTCTTTGTTCATGATTGACCTCAATATCAATTTTCTTATCAAGTTTGGCATGTTTTTTTTTTGTTTGGAGGCTATATCAAAGAGTCAGAGTAATGAAATCCGTGATTTTCTCACTTGGATATGAAGTGTAAGACACATGAATCATCTCTTAGAAAACAGTGAAGGTATATATACTTATACACCAATTCAGGGATTTTGTCTAATTGGAAACCTCTCATTAGAATTCTTACTCATTTGCACGCCCTTCATATTTACTCAAAAGGACTGATTCCCAAATTCAAAGACTTATCCCGTTTACAAGCCGTGTTCCCGTGCGTTTTGTTACAGTTTTTGCCAGCCTTTCTTGAGAGTTGCCCGAATCTGAAACATCTAATCTTGGTAAAACCTGTTGTCATTTTAGCTTAACGCACTCTTGTTTGGTGGATGTGTATTCTTGAAAATCCAGCCTTTGTTTTCCGTTCGTGTTTTGCAGGAGGTTGATTACTGAAAGGAGATCGTGGTATTCGATGACTTACTTTGATAAATGCATCAAGCTATTTAGCACCTCTATTTTCTTTCTCGCTTTGCAATATTAGCTATGCCTTAGATCAAAATTGAATACAGACTCAGTTAAAGAGTCTGAATGTGTGAACGGAACTTACAACTTTATTCCTTCAGCTGCAAAACCAATCATTAATGGTACATATTTCGGATGCGTTCTTCAAGTATATTCCAACGCTAGTTGTCTTGGATCAATAAGGGAATCTAAATCTCTCTGAGTTGCCAAAGCAAATTTCAAAGTTGATATCCTTGCGTTATCTTGATTATTCTCATATACAGACGTGAATCAATTGCAAGTTGGTTTACAAGAGTTGAAAAAGCTAATTTATTTGAATTTGGAATGCACACTGAAGCTTGAGCGCATTTCAGGGATATCGAATCTGTCGAGTTTGAGGACACTGGCACTACGAGCATCCACAAAGACGCTAGATATGAGCTTAATAAAGGAGCTGCAACTTCTGGAGTATCTAGAAGTTTTTAACCATTGAGATCAGGTCAGGGATGGTTTGGGAGCAATTGTTAAGCTCTCACAAGTTGGTCATATGTATTCAAAAGGTGGGTTTCGATGACCTTGAATAATCAGTGAGAGTATTGACTTTGCCAACGACTTGTGCTCTCCGTAGCCTCAGCCTAGGGAGTTGCGGAATGGGGGAGATAAAGATAGAGAGGAAAATTTCAACATTGAACAATAGTCCAACAACTCCATGCTTCTCAAACCTCTCTGAGATCTATATATATGGCTGCAAAAATCTAAAAGATTTGATGTGGTTGGTCTTTGCTCCGAACCTTGTTGATCTTAGGGTTGAGTACTCAGATGGATTGGAAGATATAATAAACGAAGAAGCCTCTATTTATCTGATTTACCCATGTTGAAGAGCATCTACTGGAGTCCTCTGTCTTTTCCATTTCTAAAGCAAATCAATATAGGAGTTTGTCCGAAGCTGAGAAAGCTTCCACTGGATTCTAAAAGTGTCGTAAGTGTTCAAGAACTAATCATAAGATACAAAGAAAAAGAATGGATCAAAGAGGTTGAATGGGAAGACGAAGCCGCTCAACTCCGTTTCTTGGCTCTCTGCAAGCTGCAAAGCTAGGCCCAACTTGGTACCAATTCTGTATTTTGATTTAATAGCCTCATCGATTCGATTGACGGTTAAGTTGTTGTAACGTGTAGTACAAGTTCTTCCAATTCAAGCAGTGTTTAGATTTTGTAATTTGGATGTTTATTTATTATGTCCACGATTATACTACTAATTGGCTTTTTATTCAAGGTGCCTTCCTTTATTCCTTTATGTGTCGAGGATCAATAGACTAAGCATTTTGGGTCCAAAAGGTAAGCTGAGTGAGCAAGTAGTGAATATCAGGTCGGATGGATCCTGGCGGTTCTAGTTGAAATTTAACTAAAAATCAATTAAACCCGATTTTAACCAACAAAAAATGATAAGGAGAAAAGCCAAACAAACAATGACTCCGAATAGAAATAATGGGTCTGATTGGTAATCTAAAACGGTACAAATTTTTCAATG